CACACATCACACACCACATGCACACCACGCACACCACACACACCACATACACCACACGTACCACACACCACACACATGGCACAAACCATACACACCATACACACACTGCACACACACACTGCACACACCACAAACACGGCAAACACACCACACACACCACAGACACACCACACACACCACACACACCACACACACACCAAACACACAGCATACACACCATACACACCATACCCACCACACACACACCACACACACCATACACACCACACACACACCATACACACCATACACCCTGCACACCACTCCTACCCTGTCCTGTTTCAGAAAATTGGTCGTTGTCAGGCTTCCCTGGTGGCGCAGTGGTTGAGAGTCCGCCTGCCGATGCAGGGGACACGGGTTCGTGCCCCGGTCCAGGAAGATCCCACATGCCGCGGAGCGGCTGGGCCCGTGAGCCATGGCCGCTGAGCCTGCGCGTCTGGAGCCTGTGCTCCGCAACGGGAGGGGCCACAGCAGTGAGAGGCCCGCACACCGCAAAAAAAAAAAAAAAAAAAAAAATTGGTCCTTGTCATTCTTCAGGTCTCTGCTTTAATGTCACCTTCATGGAGAGATCTTCTCTATTTCCTCTATGAAAACATGCTCCCATTGCCCCTCCCGTTATTCCCTGTCCCTGCACTGCACTCCGCTTCCTTCGTTATTTCACTCACTGTAGTTATGTATACTTTCCGTCTCCCACACCCATCTGGAAGTCCCATGCAGGCACAGGACCTGCCAGTCCTGTTTACTGTGGTGCTCCTGACACCTGGCACAGGGCCTGCCACATACAGACAGTAGTCACTCAATGGAGAGACTGATAAAGTGTGTGGCACTTAGAATGACTGAATAATTTCAAAGACTTCCCCAAAACCCCTGATGATGGAGCGCAGTGCGATTTGGGAATAATGCTACGAGTAAAGGAGGGGAATTTAACCACAACCAGTTTCATCAGGGCCAACATGGTTTGTCTTGGAAAAAAGGAAATCCTAGCTGGGCCACCACTGTGCATTCCCCAGCACTGGTCTGTCCCAGGTCAGGCTTGTTATTTCTGGCCCCAGTTACCCACTGGCTAAGGCCTTGGGTAGCATGGTTTTTTCCCTTTCAGTTTGTGGTTTGTAACTTGGGGAAGTACCCCATTATCAGTTCTGCTGGGCCTCCCATTCAGGATGTTAGGAAACGGGAATCAAGTATAACTCCCTTGGGACCGTTTTAACAGCTGTGGCTTTTGAGAAAGTTTGCCTCTCCCAGAGCCAGCCTCAGAAGAGAGGAGATGCACAGCAAGGATAGTATTCTGTGACTTCTTCTGGGACTGTCGCATCACTCCCGCCATCATCCCTGGTGTGGTGTGTGTGTGTGTGTGTGTACACATGTGTGCATACGCATGTACTGGAAGTGGCCTCATCATTTCTAAAGCTGGAAGAATCTTCAGGCATATGTAGCATAACCTTCTCATTTGATGGAAAGAAATTTAGGCCTTGAGAAATTTGACTTGTCTAACGTCCTGCACCTAGTTAATGAAAAAGCTGGAGTCAAACAGAAGTCAGGCCTCCTTCCACCATATCTCACTGTCTGAAAGGCTCATTTCAAAACAGAATATTTGATTATTTTTCCTGATGATAGAGTAACATGTGGAGGAAGATTCCGAGTGCTCTGGGTTCAGTTAACCCTCAGAAGGACCACCTCCAGCTTCCTTCTAAGAGATGGCCCTTGGCAGAGGCACTGTCAACAGGAGCCTGTCTCTAGGTGAAGCCCCAGCCTTGTTCTCTGATCTCAGCCCAGCCCTTGCTCTCCTACCCTGTTGGTTCCTTTGTTTCAGCCATGAGTCATCAACCACCAGCCGGCCTGCTGGGGTTCCTCCTCTGGCCCGTTGTCAGTGGTCCTGCCTTCTCCACCTGGCCAATCCCCGCCACAACTCCAGCCCCCTTATCTGGGCTAGTTCTTGCTTATCCTGAGAACGTATCAGTCACATGCAACACCTTTCGATGTACCCATCAGCCCTTTTCCTAAAAACACCTATCAACCCAGACCCTTGATCACCAAGGGAACACAAGAGCCCAGGCTGACACCCCCTTCCTTGTCAGCCTCCTGCTTCCCTGGAAGTACAGAGAGAGAGGCCACCATACAGAGCACAGGGCATTTTCCATAGGTACAAACTGATTTGTTTCCATTTTTCATTGAACTGTTTTACAGTGTGTGAAATTTTGTGAGCCGCCACAAATCCTCCTCGGAGGCACCCAAGGGAATAATAGGTGTGAGCATAAACAATTATTTATTGTGTCAGAATTTGCTAAAGGGCACCAAATAATGTGAGAGATAAGGGCTATACTCTACAGCTCAGAACGGGTCCTTTGATATGCGCAATATCAGATCATAAGAAGATCCAACTGCAGAGACTGTTGTATAAGGAATAAACTATAGCTTTGGCTGTTTTGGAGAAGATTGAAATATGTGGTGGACACTTACCCTTTTGTTTCTTTGGGTTCTCCACCTTTCCACTCCCTCTATTTTGGGGCATTTTCCCACCCTGATGTGTTTTGTGTTGGTAGAACCTACCTCTTCCTATAGAAGTTGAAAGAGGGAGCTTCTGAGTTCTGCCTCTGGGGCTTGTAACCTATACTTATCCAATCAGATGCTCCTCTGTAGGACATGGAGTGTGACACAAGGCTGGGGGTGGGGGGACACGTAGAAAAAGTTTATCACAGCAGGAGACAAGAGCTGCACCGCTGGCAGTATACACAGCATGTCTTAGAGGAGTTCTTCCTCAGACGTGGTCTTGACAGTGCTTACTGTTCCCTGAATCTCGGGAGCTGCTCTTGTCTTTGCCTTTTTCCAAACCTCACTCTCTCGCCTTCCTTTCTATTCTGTGAACTTCCCTGAACTCTTCTGCTTCTGTTAATTCAGAGTTGATTTCTGTTGCTTGTGCTTAAGGACCTTGGATCGTACAATGCAAGTGAGGTGAATTCACCCTCCCCAGAACTCTTCTCTATGGAATACTAGAAATTCTCAAAGGCACACTTAAGTCACTGGTTTTAGAAAAGAAAAAGGGGGGCGGTGCTAGAGAGGTGCTTGTATGATCTATGCTTTCCAAAGAGATAAGAGAATTGTGGGCATCAATAACAGTTTGTGGGCATCAATAACAGTTTATCCTCAGATCTACGTGACTACAAACATAATGTTAATTGAATGAATGAATAAATGAGTGAAATCTGTCTCCAGAGAAAACTTGGCTCATATTTGAGTCTCCTGCCCAGTTGGGAATGACTGTACCTGGCACTCCGTATCTTTATAAGTGCCTCAGAGTCTTACTTTACAGCAAAAATGCTCTTTATCTGATAAATGTCTTGAGATGCAGAAGGCAACTGGATCCTGGAAGTCCTGATTCCTTAAGCTCTGCTTCTTTCATATGTTCTAGAAGTAAGTCATCAGAAGAGGGATTGATTTGCCTATGTTTACTTGAATCATTGTCATTATCTAGCACCAGGCTTATGACACATTCATGGATCAACCCTGAAACAGGCTTCTGTACTCCTGGGAAACTCTCCCGAGTTGGAAGCTAATTCCTAAATATGATTGAACATGTTTCCAAAAGGACATTAGATGACCTGCAGTGTACCATCTGGAAGCCACATGGAATACAAATTCTTCTTTGAGACCTGGTGACTAGGCAAGCAGGCTACCTCCAGGGGCTGTACCCCAACAATTACCCCACCAGCATCATTTCTGGTGAAACATCTCATTTCGTTCATAGGGGACTGTTTCACACACCCTCCCTTTCTGTTTGTTTTGTTTTATTTCAGTGGTCTTGTAATGGGCATGTGTGGGAATCCCTTACTAAAGGCGAAAGATGGCATCTTCTCTAAAATCTAAGCCAAGACATGAAGAAGTTCCAGAATATAAGAAGGCACTTCCATTTCTGGAAAATGAAGGTGTGATGGGCTAAAGAATTCCTCAATTCATTCTTCCACAAAGGCTGGTGCACAACTACTCATCAGCTCTGAGGAGTTCTAAAGGCACAGGCTGCTACACATGCTTCCCTCCACTTCCCAAATCAAAGAGCCAGGTACATCCTGGGAGAGGTGAAACCTGAGGGCATGCTGGGGTCACTGCTAGAATCACTAGGGAACAGGCTTGGTCTTGACCAGAGAGGCAGGGGTATGAGGGAGTATGCTGAACTAATTCTGAGTCATCAGGAGGTTGACTTCTCAGCTGGGGAGGGATCTAAAGAATCAATCCAGAGAAAAGGGAGTGTCAGAAGGTAGGAGCACTCAGTTCAAGCTGCTTCGATAGGAACCTGGGAATAGTGAGGAGGACAGTCTGACTGATTTTGCTGGCTAGCATCTTTCTCATCTACCAACATGCTACTCTTGAATCCATGTCTTAGAGGGGCTGCCTTGTGTGGATCTGATAAAAGAGCATGTACACTTATTTAACATAAAAATTTGAGAACTTTCATCTTCAGGTATCCACATTTTGGTCTCTTGCTGCTTCTCCCTGGGGCTGGGAGAAGAGAGTCAAACTCACTTAGCTACCCAATTCACGGGAAGCTTTGGCTTGTCTTTAGCTTATATTATTTAGCTTATAAGATGGAGTTGACCGTGGTCTCTCTATTTTTACTGTGCCATTTCTCTAAGGATCTCTGAGTCTTATTTTAACAGCAGAAGTGTGTTTTCCTTTGCTGATCAAAAAAAAGTCTGAGATACAAGAAACAGTGGGTCCTGAAGAGTCCTAGTTCCTTAAGCTCTGCTTCCTTCAGAAATTTTGGAGGGTAGGCATCAGAAGAGGGATAGAGAGTGAGAGGGTTTGGGGAAGGTGAGGAGGGAATCCCCCATTAAGAGTCTGTTTACGCACATGGTGGCCCAGACCTACGGAGATCTGGGTAGAGACAAGGGTGAAGTAAGACTGTGTTTTGGAAACTGTGGTAATAAAGAATCGATGAGTCAGGGCTTACTATCCCCAGAAAAAGGTACCGCTCACTGGGGAGGCTTTGGGGCAAAGCCTGTACATTTATCTGGGGGTGGGGTTGGAAAGGCAGATTGGCAGGTGGGAATTTGGAGGGAAAGGAGTGGGGGGAGAGAGAGTGTGAATGAACAAAGCGGTGGAAAAACACATTGGGGAAATAGCACTGAAAGTGGGACTCCAAGCGGAAAGAGTTGTCAAAACAGAAACAGAACTCCTGTGTTGTGCTGGTTTGTAGGTTGTATGGGAAACCCACAGACTTAATTTCATTTTTTCTTCATGCTTCTAATTTTAATTTCTTTTCAATCCAGCATGTGTGAAATTATTGTTGTTTAGAGCAATGTTGTCTTGGTCACCTTGGGGCTATACTTAATGTCCAAGTTTAGGGGTTAACCAAATATAGCATACCTGGAAACAGTCCTTTATTTATCGGTAGCTGAAATAGAAGCTGAGTCACAGAAGTGACACAAACACATCTGGTGCCTGTCTCAGACCTCCCAATTCCCCGGGGTGCTGATGAGTTTGCTCTTCACTTGCTTGGGTTTTCAATTCTCCTCTCTGTTGATATCTGCACACCTGGCTCAGGGATGATCCCCATTACATTGGTCTTTCTCTAGTTATTCTCCCAGACGTCAGTGACTAGATATTTATGGATGACTTTCAGAGTTGAGCTATAGGGCCTCTGATAGACTAATGTGTCAGCAATTCCACTCACTGGTCTAAACATGGGTGATGGAATAGAGCTCAGCTTTGAAATTTCAACTTTGCTTAAACTGGATTTCATCTGTGCTTGAAGGGAAGGAGGAAGCAGAATCCATCTGGCTTGGAAAAAAATGTGTACCCTTTTCCCACCTGGTAGTAATCAACTACAATCACTGTAGTTGATTATCCCTCCAGGCCCTAGCACTGGTACAGAGAAAGGAACAGGCTGGGATGGAGAGCACCACTATCTCAGTGGCTCAGAGTCCATTAAAAGAAAGTGGGACGGATTTACATCTGTAAGTCGTGGTAGGTCATCTCCTTATTTCCCACACAGTCGTTCTATCACAAATAAGACTGTGAGAATGCTCCAGTGTAAGAGATGCCTACATCGGGGGAAATCAAGATGATCCCCTGGGTGCAAGAAAATACTAGAGCCTCTATTCTATTCATTTTTATCTTACCCTTTAAAATGTTTTCTTTTTGTGTATATGTTATAATATGCATTGCATATTACTATATTGGTAGATGTATGTTATCTATCATCTAATATCTTTCTATCTCATTTGTCATCTATCTATCCATCCTTCTATCACAAGGTTCGTTGAGCAGCATTTTTGGAAGGTCAAACTCATGTGAGATTCTATTTTAGTAGGCTTCAGGTAAGACCTAGGAAACTGTAGTTATCTGATTCATTTATTTTCATTAAGGAACCTTTCCTTAAAGGCAACCTTACATAAAATCCTATAAAGCTGGGACCACTCTTTTGAAGGGGGGCTGAAGGCAAGTGTAGGGGATGGTCCCACCCTCCAAAGTTTCCCTTCCATTTGTTCTCCCCTCTGCTCTCCTTGGTCTGTGTAAACTCCTACTTGGAAACCACCTTGGTAGCTCCTGAAAGATGCATCTTTGGAGATTAACTGGTTCAGTGTTTCAAACTGGACTAACAGGACATGGTTCCATTCTCAGGTTTGATCTTGTAAATATTTCCCACTAGCCGGGTCTATCCCAGTCTGTCTTTCATGCCATGTGCCAAACACCCCCTCACAGCCCAGGCTAAGCAAAGGGACTGACATCGTAAATAGACTCCTTCTTCCTCCTAAGAGAAGGCCCCTCCCCAGGTAATTTCCTGCCTTGCAATTACTACTTCATTTTTCCTAACATAGTGACTTCCCCACAGTAAACAGCCAATGTATTCATGAAGAGTCATGTTCAGTGCAGAGTATGATCAGACTTCTGCAGCAAACATTTCTCTGATCTTATTTCAGACTTGCAATTAGCTCCCTCTGCAGAAGGAGATTCTGCCTAAACTAAATGCAACCCCCTATCCGAGGAGCACCTCATCCTGTAGCTAATGCAATTATGCTTATGCATGGTTATAATTTTCTTTCTGATTTTATTTAGAGATTGCCTATTTCCCAAGGGCAATTCACACTGTCATTTATAAAGTTATGTTGTCTTCATGTTTAACCTTGAGGGAGAAAATTGCCTATAGAAATAGGGGAAAACATACGGTGTAGCAGATGCAGATAAAATACTCAGATCCCCTTTCCAGAAAGGACTCACTGCCCAGCTACCAGGAGGATAACTAGGTGACAGCCTCTCCTGTTAGCAACTTTTGAGCTAAATTCACACTCTGCTCAGAGTGGCCCTAGCCCATAACTGAGCAGGGCCATGGGATAAAGTCATGGCCATTTCCACCTGATGGGGATGCGCTCCAACAGGTAATCTTGCTCTGGAGCAACCTTTGGGGCTAACAGAGCCTGTACCACAATCAGGTGGCTTCCTCGTGGCCATTCCTGCTACCTCATATTTCCTTTCACAGGTGTTACTCCCCACAAGACCTCATGCTTCCTAATTCTGTGTTAGAGTCTGCTTCCCGGAGAATTAGAGGTTGAGGGGGAGGGGAAGGAAGCAAGAACCAAATACAGGTTGCAATATTCTCCCAGATTCCTTGAGTTTACTGTTCCCAGCCTGTGGATATGAATAGCTCCTGGGGAACCTCAGAGTTATTGCAAGGGGTCTGCAAATATACCCACGTGCCCAACATTGCCTATAGCCCGAATACATAATATGTCCAGGTATTTTGAATAATATATGTGCTATTTTTCAAATAACAATTCACTAAAATAGCTTTTTAAAATAGTGCATTTTTAGATCAGTGGACTCTAATAGTTATACACACATGCACATATGCACATCAGGGGAATTTTTTGCATTGAAGAGGTGTCTTCATGTTAAAAGGGCTGAGAACCACTGTGTTAGTTGATGCGGCCCTCTGGTCTTCAGACATGAACTGGGAATTTCCAACGTAATTTCCAGATAAACTTTGGGAAAGGCTGCATAATTCTCAGATGGAATAGCTCTAATTTGACAAATGTTGATGGCTCAGGGGTGCTAGAATGGTCAACTTTAAAGGGTAATGAGATATTGTGCGGCCTCTTGGTACGATATCAAATCTCCTAAAATGTGCTTATGTTCTGACCTTCCTGTTCAGAGACATGACTAGGTAAAAAGTGTTTGACTTGGGTTCAACATCTCTATTCGTTTTGGGATAAATTGCCTTGTCTTAGCATACGATAGTTATCTTTAGGGAGCAGGTACCATGTAATTTGGGATTACTATTTGGGTAGAATCTTATAACTGAAAGAGACCAGCCTTCCTGTCCTACGGAGGAGAACACTGAGACTTATTCTGGGGAAATATAATAACTTGTCCAAAGCCACAGCTAATAAGTGGCATATGTCTCTCTTAACAGTAGATAGGAACCAAACTATGGCTTATGGTTTGAGGTGTAAAATTTATTAGCTCTAACAGTCAGGATGTGCTGAACTATGCTGCTATAACAAATAATGCCAAATGTTAGTGGATTAACATGAAGGAAGTTTATTACTGTTTCAGCTGAAGTCCATTGTAGGTCTGAATGGTTCTCTAGGACACCTGTGCCCCAGGGCTCCAGGCTGCTTTGATCTTATGACACTTCCATCTCAACAAATGGCTCCACAGTTGCCACAACAGAGGAAGAGCATGCTGCAAGATGTCTCACTGGCAGTTAAACACCTTCGTCCCTCATGACACAGGTGGTAGACCGTATCTGTAATAAAAGGTGAGGAGAGCTGCATAAAAATAAGCACTCGACTTCCCTCGTGGCACAGTGGTTGAGAATCCACGTGCCAGTGCAGGGGACACGGGTTCGAGCCCTGCTCCGGGAAGGTCTCACATGCCACAGAGCAACTAAGCCCATGCGCCACAACTACTGAGCCTGCGCTCTAGAGCCCACGAACCACAACTACTGAGCCTGCATGCCTAGAGCCTGTGCTCTGCAACAAGAGAAGCCACCACGATGAGAAGCCCATGCACCACAATGAAGAGTATCTCCTGCTCGCCACAACTAGAGAAAGCCTGTGGGCAGCAATGAAGACCCAACGCAGCCAAAGATAAATAAATTTTAAAAAAAATCACCACCTTGAGCATTCTCAGAGAAGAAAATGGCTAAGTTGTTTAAAAAAAAAAAAAAAAAAGCACTCAACATCCCTACCATACCAGCCTCTCAGAGTGCCAGAAAAATTTCATTAGTTATTTTTAGGGTAAATTTCACAAGTTCTCTGAGAATAATAATTTATTAAGTCATTATCACTCCATAGCATACATCATGAATTAGTTCATCAGTTTAGGTTTAGTCACTAATACTTTGAAAAACTGGACAGCTGTGGTGGAAATACACTTTAAGAGCTTCTCTTAATAAAAGACAGCTGAGGGGTTTGGGCTGGCCAGACAGAGTTGTGTGGAAGACACTTGGGAGGCCCCCGCTCTGGTGATGGATGGTAGTTGAGGGCAATGAGTGTCTGAAGGAGAAGACTTTCTAAGGGCAGACGGGGCACTGAAAGGTGGTAGAAGCTGCCTGTGACCAGCTTCCTTGAGTTCAACACTTTGCCCCAGGCTGCTCAGGTGAGCAAAGCAACTTGCAAATGTCCGTGGATGTATTTGAATGATACCAAGTCTTATCAAACTCTTGATATTATGTTTGTCTCCAGTCTGCCTTCCCTCCCTGGCCGCCAAACAGTGCTTTGAAAATAATACGTTGCTAACCTAGACTATTGGGTTTCCTGCCACATTTTGGTGTCTGCAGTGCTAGGGAGACCAAAGTGGCAGAGAGACACTGCAGAAGGAAGCCAAGCTTGGTTTGAGCGTGAATTACTCCTTGCCATCTTCTAGGCTACTACTTCCATAGGCCTGGCTCACCGGGCTGAGGTCACTGGTCTCCACTAGGAGCTTTGAAGTATTCGAGCTGAGTGTTTACCGAAGTTCTTTAAGCCATCTGGGCCTATGGAATGGACTTGGACACCATCTTTTATGAGATCTTCCGCATTTTCACTCCGAGCTGAAAATATTAAAAAGTGAAGAGCCACTTCTGTCCCTAGCGGATATGGGATGTTTACTCTCAGACTAAGACGTGTTACAAATGAGGGTCAGATTAGAATAGAACAGAGTCTAAGGGTCTGGCCAATTTACTCAAATGGAATTTTTCTTCAAACATGGGCTAATAGACATGTGACTTTCTAGTCCAGTTCATGACTTTGGAGGCAGTCTGCTTGGGCTCATACGCTGACTCAACCATTTACTAATTATGTGTTTGTAGACAGATTACTTAATCTTTATGCACCCCAGCTTTTCTTAAACTTTAAAATAAGAACAACTGCATCTACTTCAATAAATCTGAAGGCCATGGGACACTCAATAAATATGAACTATTATTGTTTTTGTAGTGCTTTAGAGAGATTTGGGGGGAGAAGTGTGATAATTTGATGTCTAAGACCACCATTGTTATTGTCAGTAATAATACTACAAGGTCTAATGTGATATACTGGCAGGTACTTCAGTTTCCTCATCCATAAAGTGGGACTGACGTTGGTGGCCCTTCCTACCTCAGTGGATTATGTGGTGCATCAAATGAAGTGAGAGATACCTTGAAAAATATATGGAGATAGGAGATCTTGTCCATGCTGTGCAAGTAACAGCAGCGATAGCAGTGGTAGCTGTCGAGTGTCTTTGTCCATCCTGTTGCCACTTAGGTTGATGCAATCTCTGCATGTGACTGTGATTGAAGAGTTGGATTTTGCTGGGGTAGGTGGGACTAGTTCTTACTGCACTGCTTTGACAGAACCTCGTGCTGATGAGGGCGTTGCTTTCTTTTTCTTTCTTTCATTTTCGAGTAGTATTTATGGATTTTTTTCCAATTTGAAAGTAACACATAATCATTATTGAAAATTTTAAAAATATGGAGAAGCTTAAAGAAGGCAATTAAAATCACCCATAATCCCATTACTAAGAGACCCGATGACTTGTGTGCTCTCCCACTCTGCCCTCCCCTTCTGTTTCTGGTTCTGGTTCTCCGTGCATGCACACACATGTGTATGCACATGCACACACACACACACACACAGACACACACACAGAGGCATCGTACTGATGCGCTTTTACAGGCTCTTGTCAATTAACAGCATCTCAGGGGCATTTCTTACCTTGCTTAATATTTTTCACAGCATTCCTTCTCCTCACCCACTCTGAGTATACAGAGCCCTACCTCCTAAGGAAGGTCCTCCCACCACCACCCCATACCTCCGTCCCACCCCTCTGGACTTGCACGCATATGAGGGCATTGTTTTCTGACACCCAACACTTCTATCCATGCAGTCAGAGGTGCTTTTGCTAGGAGTTGTCTGTCTCTGAGAGGTCAATGCCAGAGCCTGGTTTCCAGTTCAGAAAACCACAGGATGAGCAAAGCCAAGTCCTGCAGCAGCAATATACCAGGCTCTGGCGGTGGGCTGGCCCTCACTCTCTCTCTCGTCTAAAGAGTCTTTTTGAGGCTGGATTTGCTTGGCTGCCCCTGGTTGGGAAATAGTAAGAAGCTTGCATTCGTGGAAAAAGGAAGGAAAAAACAATCACCAATGCTTTCATAAAACCCAGCCTGTCACAGTTCCTGTTTAAGGAGGAGGACTCATTTTTCCCTAAGTTGAAAATATTTGAGCCAGGATGGGAGGTGGGGGGATGGGGGGAGAAATTGCCCTCTGTCCAGAGCCAGGCAGAGATTTGCATATACAGTGAAATATACTGGGGCTCTCATTTTAGGGGGAGTTCTTTGCTTCCAAGCAAAAGAAACCAACTTTAGCTAATTTAAGAAAAAAACTAAAAATACACACATGTATACATCATGGCACACACACATACACGTTAGAAGGCCACAGAGCAGCTCACAGAATCAAATAAAAAGCTAAAAATTCTGGCTTTGTATGGGACAGGAAACTAGGTGATCTAGGTGGGAGAGACTAACGGACTCTCCATTAGTTAGGGATCCCTGTGTCCCTTCACCCAGGATTTCTGTTCCCTGGAGAGAGTAAACTGGCCTTGCTTGGTGACATGCCAACTACTTGACCCGCAGAAGGTGAGACACCTTGCTTCAGGCTCTGTTAGAAGGGAGGATGGGCTGCTGAGCAGGCCGTAGAGCAGATTTCTACCAGTCTGCTTTTTATCATCAGCCTCTTTGCTATAATTAGTTCCCCAAGGCTGCCTGAATTTACATTCATGTAAATGCAATTAATGTGTTTCTGTTTTATAGCATCCTTGATAAAAATTAAACCATGTTAAAAGTGGACTACAGTCTTCTCACTCAATACAAGATCTCTGCCTTGTCTTTGTGGTCCACCTGGAGAAAAGGCGCTTAGGGCTTCCTGAAGCGGTCTCTTGCTTCACCTGGCTTCCCTTTGATAGCTCCATGCTCTGGATTCTGGAAGTTTGTGCCCCAAGAGCCCTGGTTACCCAGCCTGGTTCTTGCTTTAGGCAGCAAACTAAAAATAAGTGTCCACAGGACCATTCTTGTTGGCAATGACAGTTGGGCTGCCACCTCACCACAGAGACACTTGTCATTTGGGGGTTTGGAAAAGGGAAACACTTAAGTGCTAGTTTATCAGCCAAAGAAGCTACGACCAAAAAAACACAGCACCCATCCAACCCACAGACTTCTGGTCAGAGTATCAACTTACAGGGGAAAGTTTAGCCTGTTATAAATTAAAGACATGGAGGTGGTTCTTCATTTACACATTTGCAGGGGGAAGGGGGAGACAACGTGAGCCCACAGCAGCTGCCTTTTAGAAGTTTCCAGGGAAACTTTAAAAGAGAACAACATTTTTTAAAAAAGTGTTAGAACATTTTCAAAGTATCGAGGAACAAAGAAAAGCCTGCAACAATGTACAATATTAATATTTTGGTGTGTTTCCAATCCTGGCTTTTAGATTGTGAGGATGAACTTAGGGGTTAACTTGCCTCCACGCCTGTCATATCTGCTCTCACTTGGGAATGAAGCCTGGAATCAAGTAAAAGTTTAATCAGTGTAGCTGGTGTGCTGACAGGTTTTCATGCATGACATTCATAAGCCTCCTTTATCCACTTAATATAACATAAGGTTTTCCCCATGTTTGAAATTTTCTTTGCCAGTTTTTTCTCAATGGCTTTATAATATTCCACCAAACGGTTGCTCCGTAACTTACCGAAGCAGGCCTTTGACATCGCACATGAACTATCACAAGCAATGGGTATTTTTGTGCCTAAACTGGGGCCACCATTTGTCAAAGTCCAGCCTTACAACTTCTTGGGGGTGAGGTTTTTATACTGTCACTTTTTTTTCTCTTAAAAGGCAGCTCTTCACTGGACAAAGTCTAATTATCCAGTTCATAGGTGATTCTACCCTAATTATTCTTCACTCTTTTCCCTCCTTTTATGTTTCTGGAAGTCATTTCCTAGATTGTTAGCAAGGGTACTAGAAAATTAAAGAGAGGACAAACTTTGAGTACTTATTGCTAAGTCGTAGAAAAAACTTCCTGGGGGGCTGTAAGAGCCAGAGTGAAACTTACTTAGGAAATCCATCAGACAGGTCTAGACACTGCTTTAAAAATATGGGAACTGCTCTTATAGTTTTTCAAAATATATTTTATATTGCTACGGTAAAACATGCTTCTGTTAGGCACATGGTAATTGTGTGTGTGACAATAATAGCAATAACTTTTTTTCTTTAAAGGCAGAGAAGAGGATTTACAAGCC